GTTCGACATGTCTTTGTTTGTGTGAATATCTCTGTAGTGTTTTCATTTCGATGGATTTATGTGTGTGTTTTTTTTTAACAATTTTTGTCAGATAGTTTTTGATGTGTATTTTTTTTTCCATAATCATCGTCATTGATATATACGGTTCTCGGATGCTGGTTATTGTTGCCATTGTATCGGTTCAGCCCTGTGCTACGATCGATGATTCGGACTCGAAGCAAACGAATGAACGAACAGAGAAAAAAAAAAAACAACAAATTCTCAATGATTGTGTGGAGCGAGAGAGGCGATGTGTGGTTTTATGCATGAAATTCTGTAAATGTGGCTTTTTGTTTGCTCTCACTCTTCTGCACCAAAGCACCAAATTCAAGCAGATTAAAGCCAATTGTTTTTAAAAAGGTTAAAATGATGTGGAATTCTTTGCTCGCTCTCTCCCTTGCTCGTGTTGATTTTTCATATGATGTGGGATACTATTTATCGCTCGTCTTCTTCGTTCGTCACACATAAAATTCACTCTCCGGGTGTATTAATTAATATATATATACAATATTTATTTTCATATATACGGTATGACTGGAACCCGGTTCAAAATATTTATCGAAGGTTCTGTATCGTTAATTCCCAGTCACTTTGTGCGCTGAGCCATTCCGCGCACCACAACACCTCGTAAATGACACATTTTAGCACAATTTCAACGACGGAAATGTAAAACCATGTGAAAATCCATGCACAGTGCACACCACACTCGTTAGTACATTGCTATTAATTTAGTTCGAATGGGATTTTCCACAACAAATCCATTTTCGCTCAAATTCTTTTGACTTTCGCGGCTCGATAACTGCAACTTCGTATCACACATAATTGCGAATTTTTCCCGTTGCATTTTTCTACTTTTATGTGTGAAATTGACCGATTGCAATAAGACAAAAAAGACGAATCGGAATCAACAGTTCGTTCTTCATTCTAACATTTATTTTTAGCTTCTAGTTAGCATCTCATACGATAAAATGTTTGAAATGCCCAATGGCTTCATTTACACCATCTCCTGTCCTGTCACTCACAATATTGCTCTCGAAATTGAATATAACCATAATTTTTTGTTCGTTCCAGAGCCACATTTGAAATGGGAATTGCTTTTTGTGTCTTTCAGCATAGATTCTATTAATCCATGTATGGGATAGGAGCACGAATGCACGCGCGCGCGTAAGCGCGAACCACGACATGAAGAGTGTGTGACGCAACACGGCTAAAATAAGTGTGTGCCCATTTCGATATGATAATTTTTGTTTCATTCAATTATTTTGGTGAAACTCAATTGAGCTCACATTTTTTCTTCAATTTGTGGAATTGACATTGTCGTCCCCATAAATATACACCAATGCTGCAATGTGTTCAATACACATTTCATTTGAATGTTAAATGACGGATTCGTCTTTTTAAACACTTCCTCTGTTGCTGTGTGACACACGTCTGAGATCATGATTATTTGTTTGAAGAGGAGGGAGCAACTGTGATTTTGTGGAAAAAATGATTGTTTTGGGCTGAAGATTCGAATTTTGAGCCTTTTTTTTTAAATTTCTACTTCAAAATGGTACAAGCAGTTTCCTTATGGAGTTTGAGAAATTTTCGGTTGATCCTGATCTTTCTGATCTAAATCGAGGATTTGTATATTCAAATAAAATTCATTTAAGTCTTTCCTTTCAACCCAATCTCAAATTCGTGTCTCCATGAACTTGATTTTTTGTTTGTTCAACTTCCCTCCCGAAATTGTTCGATTAGCATTTCAGGCGAAAAAATTCTGTTGCCTCCAAATAGGGCACTGTCTATCATTGTTGTACGTGCATATGTAAAACCCATAATTTGTTCATTGATTGAACGGGCACAGAGAAGAAAAAAACAACAACAACAACAAAGTTATGATGAATGTCAATGGAAATGAGACAAATGCGCACTAGCTAATCCAATTGAATGTATGTTAAACAGACAGAAGAAGTAGAAAACAACAGAATTCTTAATTTATGAGTTTTTCTTATTTTGGAATTTTCAGAAGTACATTTCTGTACAATTCAAAATATGGATAAATCAAAATTATCTGATCGGAATAATTAAAAGTTGGAATTAAAATGAGCCACACATTGTTTGTCATGCATCCGTGGCCCGGTGATGTTTTTTTTTTTCCTCTCTTTTGTCGTTTGATATCATGGTTATAGGCGTATGGAAAGCAGAAAAAAAGCAACTTAAGTGTGCGGTACGGAAAGTACGTCGAAAAGTGTTCAAAGCGCTTCAAAGTGAAACGCCAAAATGAAATTAATGAGCGCGAGAGCGAAATGAAAACGTAATGCAGCGGAATATTATTGGAAAACAATGACTTTATCGACTTAATGAATGCACGAAAAATTGTCTATTTAGCGTCCGATGAATTCCAATTTTCTGGGATAACAGCACCCAGTCCCCTGGCTGAACAAAATATTTGTGTGTATGGATAGCAAATGCGCGCATTTATTGTGATTTCTTTATGTTTTTGTTGATTGCGATGATTTGTTTATTATTTGTTACAATCGTCGACTTGTCTCTATCTCTCTCTCTCTCTCTCTCTCTCTCTCTCTCGCTCCGCTTTTTTCTAATTCAACGCGTTCACCACATTCAAACGCAATTAAAAAAGTTATGAATGTTCAATATATATATATGTGAATTTGGCATTGAACAATTATTGTCAGCATTATTGTTTGAGTTGACTGTGAATTGAACGGCATTTCTATGCTTCTAAGCACTTTTTTTTTATTTTGGTACGGATAGACTGATGAATGAATCGTATCTTCGGATTCGATAGTCACACTTGACTGTTTCGCTTCTTTTTTTGGTCAATTTTAGTAAATCGGCTCACGGACAAAGTACTCGAAGAATGTTTGCAGAGATTCAGTTGCACAGTCATTGCGTTGATGAAAAGAGAAACAGAGAAGGGAAATGCTCGAGCTCAAGTAAGAGAGCTAGGTATATTTTGTCGAAAACAAAACAAAAACTACGCATTTGTTTTTCCAAATTCGAAATTGTTTACATTGCCCAATAAATGAAAACAAAATGTTTCGCCGCTTCGAATCCATACATTGTATTCAATATTCAAGTGGAAGTAAATGAAGAAGAAGAAGAAGAAATGACGTGAATTCAAGCAGAAGAAACTTGAAAAATGCTCACATAATAATATACTGTTATATGCACACCATATATATATTTTCATTCCGGAAATCAATTGAAATGACAACTAAATTCTGAATAATTTCTGTGGATTTTAATGAATTTCTTTTTTTTTTCTTTTCGAGTAAAACATACACACACAGAGACACACACTACACGCATGCCAGTTGTGCATGCTGTCACATTATAAACATCCAACTAATTCTAATTGGCATGCCATTAATTTTTGTGGGTTTTCGAACGGAAATCGGCCGTTGCCTATGGCTATACGTTTCAAAAGTCATTTTTGTGTGGACCGTACTGATATATTTTTGGTAATAGTCGCGCGCGCTATTGAAATATTTGCTACGTACGTGATATGATTTGATTTTGCGTTACTTTGACACAAAAGTGGCTCATTGTCGACGATATATGCGTGTACATATTTCGAGTGGTTTTAAGTTTTCAGCGGGAGAGAAAGAAAGAAGCCAGGCATGATGGTTTCGAACAAATTGAGCGTTTTGTTCTCGTTGCATTTCAGTTTTTTGAAAGCAGGTTTTTAATTTGATCTGGACACAATCATTTTTTTTTTTTCATTCAACAGTGAATCTTATATCCACCCTTTTGGTCATGCGGCGAAAAAGCCGACATTTGTGCCTGCTAAGCAGAGGGAGAGAGCGCGAAAAAATGGGTAAAATTTCAACTTTCCGCTTTCATAATTAATTCGGTCAGGGAAAAAGGATAACATATGCGTTATTAATATTAATACGTGCGCGCTGCGCTCTCGTTCGCATTTTTAATACATATCCCGACGACACATCACTTCAGCCAACCATGTACAATGAAGCCCGAAACAACGAAAATCGCCAAAAAAAAAAAAAATCCGGATTGAGTGAGTGATGCAGCTTCGGTTACCGCTGTTCTCTAAAGTACACATTCTAAAATGCTACAAGTAATTTGGTTTGGCTCCCTTTCTGCTTTATTTTCCTCGTTTTATTTCAGCACTTGAATAATATTTTAAACATTTATAAAGGCGTTTTTTAGTTTAAAAACCTAGTTTGCCATCGCTGCTGCGTTCGGAAGTGTTTCATCGTCGTCGGCGCGCTCACGCAAAACAATAGCAAATGGATGTGGTGCGCATGCCAGAATGAGACAACAAATGGTCCGGCGCAAAGAGCAACCCAACCAAAAATTGTATACAAAATTGTATTATTTTTGTGCATAATATTTTTTTCACGTCATTTTTATTTTTTGTTACTGCTGTTGGTTAGTCATGACTACTCTGTTTTTGTTCGCAACTCTTATGCGCCTGGTGGTGCGTGCGAGCTAGCGATTGTTCGTGTGTGTGTCTGTGAGTGTGAGATTTTATGCACAAAATCCAGGCAAGCGAATTTCAAAGGGTTTCAATGGAAAAGAGGAATATTTCAGTGAAGATTTTTCCCGTATATTTTTTGGGTGGTGTGCACTCTTTTACTCGCTCTCTCCGTCGCACACACATACAAACACACACTGGCACAGTTACACACTGTATCGCCTGCAGTCTATAGATTATATCACCGAGGCGCAGACAAAAAGCAAATCGTACGAAAACATGCTTCATTTGTGCATGTGAGCCGATCGTAATTCCGATTCTAAAGTTTTGAACACACAATCAAACGAATGAAAAAAAAAAAAGAAATCCTGAAATAATGATGAGAGTGAGCGAGCGAGCGAGCGAGCGAATAATAACAAAAAAACGCACACAGCTCGCCGTTCTGTTCTGCTTTTTTTCACCATCATTCTTTATTTTATTATTATTTGAAATGTAAAATTAAACATTGCACACATACCATTCGAATCGAATGAAAAATGAGGGTTATCCAGCGAAAAAATGAAATCCTCGAATTGTGAAAGGATTGAAATTTTTGTGTATTTAATTTTATAGGTTCTCTTTCTTTCTCTCTCTCGATCGTTTTTTTAATGGGTTTTTTTTCGGTGCAAATGCGGAAAAGTGCCTCTTTGCGAGGTCTTTGTCAGTTCAGCTGCCGTTACGTATCTTTTGTTGTTTCCTTTTGTCAATTGAATTTGGTTCGATTTCGAACAGAAATCCCAAATCGCCTCAAATGATGTTTTTGACAGACAAGAAAAAAACGAACGAACGAACACACACAATTGCTCCAAAATCAAAAGAAACGTAACAAAATCACAACACTTTCTTTGTCATTTCCGAAAATGATCTACTTGCTGATTTGGATGCTGTCACTTTTCGCTCAATTGTATCAATGAATTGTCCTTTTTTCTACTTCAACTGGTTTCGATGAGATTAAATTTAACACTTTTTTGTACAGACAATTCTGAAATTGTTATCCTTATCAATCTTAGCACAAAATTGATGAATTTCGATGAATTAAATGATAAATTCACATCAAACTGTCACTTATTGTTCACCAGACAGAACGTTAGTCGTTGAAATGTTTCCGTCAATTTTATTTTGGTTCTTGCAATTTTTCATCAATTCTTCAAGTTTTCCAATGAATTTTTCGATGTTGTCAATTGTTTTGAATTTCCCTTCTCCAATACCTAATCTGACTTTGAGTTTTTATCGTTGAATTAACGACGTATTTGCGCCAGGCTCGATCAAAAAGTACCAAACAGCGGCTGACGTTCACATATTCTCCGTGGTTTGGAATTTGAAAGTTCGCGGTGGATTTTTTTTTGGCGCATGTACGACCAACCAAAACACAATGCACATGCCGTGTATCCTTGTATATACAATATCTGTCTGAGTGTTTAGCCGCGATATCACATCAATCCTGCGCGCGATTGAAATGTGTTATCTCTTCCGTTGTCCGTTTCACGTCGGGCGTAAGTGTCTGATCGATCGATTGGTTGGTAGAATATTGTTCACTGTTTATTTCAAGGAATCATTTCAAATCACTGGGCTTGGGCTCTGCTCGACGCGTACTCGACAGCGCGCTCACTTATAATAATCACAACAAAATATAAAATACGAGAAAAAAGCCCAACCGTTCAATGAATATGCTTAATAAGTATTTTCTCTCGTTTTTCGTCTCCGTTCATTTGTGTATTAATTCGTCGTTGTGTCTGTTTTCGTCTCGCTCTGTCTGCTGTGCTCCTGTCGTCGCCGTCGCTTCATTCACTCGCCCGGCCTCACTCTCTGTCATGCACCGCTCTGTGTGTGAGAGCATGTATGTATACATATCTGAATATGCGGCACGTATCGAATATTGTTATGAGTACATGCTTCGGGACGTTTGCCGACGATGTATGTTCAAATACGAACGAGAGCGCGCGCGAGATACAGAGAACGTGTTAAATAACCGCCACACACTAATCTCATTCACGTAACTACTCTTTGCCAAACACACACACACACACACATACACACACAAATGCTCATTATTTTGATGTGGATGTGCTGTTAGACACTGCATGCTTACAATACCAACTAAATATGTGATGATTTTGATTACATTTCAGTTTATTTCGAATTTGAACAACAACAAAAAGAAGAACCAAAGAGTTGTGTACAACGATCAATGCTGAATGTATGTATATGCCCATGCGGTATGCACGGGAGAAACTCCGGCTGCTGTTGCTTCTGCTGCAACATACACACACACAGTCGGCACATTGTTGCGCGATTATTATTGTTACGATTATTCTTTTGTGCCATTTGATAAATTGAATATTCAAATTAGCCCAGCGAATGGAAGTGGTGGTTACATTGACTTACATATTTCTCGCCGAGTTTTGACATCACACGCAGAATCACAAATCGCCACTGGCCAACAGCACACAACCGATCACACACATCCTTACAGCTGATTGTCTTTCGCCATTTCCTCCTAATTCCAATTCGAATTTCGAGTCCAAGACAGCAACGCACTTTTCGATGCACTTTGATGCAGCGAATATTGTTTGATATGAACTTCCAATGTCTCTCGTTCCTTTTACCATTTTCACGTTGGACAGTCGACACAAAGCATAACCACATTTTTTATATTGAAATTAAACGCTGATCATTTAGCGCAAATTTAACTCCAATATTTAATCCGATAAATTGTGACAAACGAACATTTTCACACAAAATGACCGGAATTATGGTAATAATTGAAAAAAAATATTGGAATTTCATATCGACACTAATTCGACTTAATTTTATGCCGTCAAACAACCACTTGTTGATTTTCGATGCGATCAGCACATTTTGAGATTTGTTTTGCTTTGATTGTTTATATTAAGAGTTAAGCAGAACTCATTTGTTATGATTTTTATTTCTCTTCTCTTTTTTTTTTTTTCGTAAAAAAATCTTTTTTCACTGAATTCTTTACTGTTTGGAAGTTTTCCACAGCAGAACATTAGGTTTAAGGGTACAAATAAACCAAACGATTTTAATTGGCTCAAATGAGATTCGAAACGGTCGATTTCAAATTATTAAAGTTTTTACGGAAAAAATCTCTGTGTTACGTCTTTTTCTTATTGCCAAAGAAATTCGGTTGAGAAGTTTAAGATTAACACTAGCAATATTCCGAACCACCATCAGAAAGCGTAAGCAATCAAATCGAGCGAAATACTGTGCGGCAAGAAGGAAACCAGCGACGAAAGAGGAAAATTGCTGATGCAATGACGTCGGATGGAAGTGCGAAGAAGAGACGAAAGACGGGTCTACAATCAACACTGAAAACCATTCCGGAATTGAATTCAGGTGAGACATTCAAATCGATACACGCAAAGACTTGATTTAGATTTTGATCTCGATTTCGATTTACTTTTATCACATAAGTGACATTGATTGACCTGAAATTGAACGAGATCGGGAGTTCTGAACAAGTGGGCAGTTCAATTTACATGTGAACAACCAAAAGGCTCTATTTCCGAGCCGCACGATTGTGAATCGATAGATGATCTTTCCTATCATGTACGTTTGTTTTTATATGGAGAAAATCGTCCACGATCGTACATTTCCTATTTCTAAGGCAACGATTTCTTTGGACGATGACAAAAAATCTTACACGATTGCAATCTTGTGCCTTGGAAATAATACCTTAAACAACGATGTCCTTTTTGGCTCAAAAATAGAATATTCTATGTATAATATATAATAGACCCAAAGCTTGAATACCTTGCATGACATGTAGAAAGGATAATGCCAGCCACCAATGTAATGTTGATCTTCCAGATGAATCTGAGGCATGAGACATTTTTTGTGGCTCTAAGAAATACAATCTAGCATTTGATCAATAAAGGAATTTGGCATTAGTGAAATCTCCGGTTTTTTTGCGTAAGATAGAGAGTTGGGCGTGTTCGTTTTCTTTAGATCACTCTTATGAAAAACGAAGTATCTACAAAACATGAAAAATATTCTTCATAGAGCCCTTTCATTTAACAATCGTAAATTCAAGCCTTGAAAATAATAGGAAATTTTATAGTAATTTAAAAATATGCAAATTGTCTAAATAATATTTTATCGTTCATACGTTAATCAACGTAAATAACCACCAGAGCCATCTATATGTCAAGTGGAAATGAATTAACTTAAATCGCTTCAAACTTTCAATTTATTCAGTTTGAATACAATGGGACAAAAGCCATTCATCAACATAGAAACAGTTATAATAACATCATCGTTGAATTTTTCTTATTAGTCTCACCTATCTCAATGCAATATAAATAATTCTTAATAACAGAACTGTTAAAATACATTAATGAATTGGTCACTATTTGTTCATTTTCATTTTTCGATAAGCCTAATTCATTCTCTACAAGAAATATTCTGAGTTTTTGGAGGAAATACCCTTGTTTGTTTGTTTGTTTATTATCAGACTTTTGGTCAGCATTCATTCCACACGTTTTGATTGTATTTTAAAAAAAAAAATACGTGTACATAACCGTGATTGAATAAAACGATGAAAAGAAAACAAAATTTTATTTGAAATATATTCATTGTATTTAAAGTCAAAGATGAATTTATTAAAAATCGAACAGATCTTGCATAATTTTAAAAATTGATTCTTTTTTTCTCTCGAAAAATTGTTCGATTTTCAACATCTTTCCAAGGGTATTCTAGTCATTCTAAATAAACTTCATTTGAAAAGAGTTATCAACAACATTGTGAAGGTGTAGATTTTGTTTTTAAGCTGGGAAAAAAAGAGAAGTCATGTGTTTATATTCAAAATTGTCACTTTCATCCGATAATTTGTTCTGTGATCAAACTCCATTTCATATCTGAAAATAATGCTGACTTTGCTCGCAGCTTCAAAATCAAGTGGATCTAATGGTCCCATAGTCAAAACAACACCATTTTGAATGCGGTGAATCACGACGCATATGTCTTTCTGACTCGAAATAGGTAGGAGGTACCAAGGCATATTGTAAAAAGCATCGACAGTTTTTTCGTTCGCTTCCTCAATATTATTGCCCATGTAGCATATGATCAATAGTTGAATATAGGAGCACATCGTGCTTCCATATCCAGCCGGAAAGTCGAGCTTAAAAATTGAAGGTTCAGATTAGTACATGTGTATTCTATACAGTTTAAATTGATTGAAGCTGTTGAAAAATGGCGAAACTTATTGCATACGTATAAAACGTATGGGGCCACAAACGTTTTTACATATAGCAAATCAATCACTGCGAGTTCGAAACTGCAAAATAAAAAAAAGTTCTCATTTGACATTACACGGTTGGTGAAAGTGCATCACATTGTATGATATAGCTACCGATCAAAATCTTGTACTCGCATGAGAGTATTACGCCATTTGTGCTTTGATTTTCAATGACATACCCCCAGCCATAAGTTCATCGGCAAGTTCATTTAAATCAAGTCGAACAATCTTCGGTATCGTCGTAACAACATTGTTCACCAAGGCTTGTCCAATTTCCACAGGAAAGCATTGCTGAATGAGGTTCAATATGAATCTCGTATCTGATTGACTATCGACAAACGGTAGCTCTGTAGCTAGCGGAGTCACACGCATATTTTTTGGAAAAATAAACAGAAACCGGTTCAAATGCGATACACAAACCAAGATCTCCACAACCAAAATGTTTTTCAAAAGTTGTTTGATGCATTTCTCTCAAAGCGAATTGTGTTTCGAAGGCGTATTATCGTTCATGTATATGTAATTTCCTCCAAAATTGGTTGCACTGTTGATGTCAAAACGCTTTAAGTCTACCGCATGCCAATACATTATAGTATTCTAAGAATAATTGAGAGATTTTCGGAATGAATTTGGTTTACAGCAAATTCATATCATTTAGTGTATCAACTCACCACAATAACCATACCCAGTGGACAAATGCACCGATGCTTGTTCCATATGCCCAAAAACCATCGCCGATATCTGTTCAATGAAATATGCAATTAAATGGCGCAAAATGGTGGACGAAAAATGCCCAATATTCACTGTAATAAAACACTGAAACCGTCAATATAAGAAACCATTAACAATTGATTAAGCAGCTTGAACTGTTTTCACATTTTTTTCGAAATTGACAGAACAATGAACTATGTTCTCGCGAGAGATAAATAACTTTAAACATTTTTGAGCTACTTTCACTTCTTACTTAGATCATCGAGTTGCATTCGAAGGTGAAAATATTTCTCTCTTGTATCAATGGTAGCCAGTTGCATGCCCGCGAGTTGACAGCGCTCTTTTGCTTCAGACCACGTCGACTAAAATGAAAGTTATTTGGTAATTTGAAAATCGTTAAAAAGCTTTAATTTATCAAAACTTACGTGATCTTTTCGATTGATGTAATAATTTTTCCAGTAATAATGATCCAGTTGAAGCATTTTCACATGTACATTACATTTTGCCGAGGGTGTGTTTCGAGCTAACGCCAGAGCCAACACAGCAACTTAATGAGACGGGATACTGTAAATGCTTCAAATGACATCGTTTTTCTCTCTCGCATTTTGTTGCTTCTTCCGCACATTCACAGAAAATGTTATAATTGGCTTAAAAATGACTTGGGCTTTTGCTCGCTTTTCCTACACGCACACACACACTTGCGTATAAATGGTGGAATACGAAAAAAAATCTCATCGACTTACGATGGATTCAGCCAATTTCACGAAAGCCAACCATGACCGCAATCCGATAGAAGAATCTCGCATATTCCGGCCGTTTTTCCTTCAATTCTCGGCTCAAACGCATCAATTGTGTACGGTAGCGTTCGCCTGTGATCGTTTCACCAGGTTTCAGCAGCTCATAATAAATCAGTTTCATTTGAATTGAATGTTCGCACTTGATGCACTTCATGTGGATAAGATTGCGTGAAGCGATTCGCATCGAGCATTGGAATGTTTGAATATTTATCACTTTTCAATTGATGCTCTCGAAAGTGGTTGCTACGTCTTTTGTTGTGTTTTTTCCCCTTCAATCTAGCACCAGCTAATTACGAATGGTTTGTATTGGATTTCGTCTATTAAAAATATTCGAACGAAAAAAAATATTGCATAGTAAAATTTCTTGACAATAACACTTCCTCATTCTAATCAGCGGCTAAACACATCTAAATGCTGATTTATTCTATAGAACCATTTTTATGGGTGATCTCAAAACAAACAAGGAAATCTTGTTGATTGGCACAATTACATTTGTGTTCGGTATATTCTTTGCTTCGATGGAAATATCCGAAGAAAAACGCTTTGTCATCATATCATGTTTCCAAAGTAAAAGTGAATCCGATTCACTGAATCGGATAAGGTAACAGTATTTCTCGTAGAACTATTCATTTTTGTTACGAATCGAAATCGCAATTTATATTTACTAATCTCTTACCGTCTTAATTACAGTAATTTCGTGCATGAACGCAAAGACACGAAATATGCATTATCAGCCGTTTAAATTATCTAGTTGACGTAATCGGAATTTTCAGAATGGAGCGATTTGTTTTTGCATGGATTATCATGGAAAATATGGAACAACGACAGAAGTCAACGATACTGACGATAATATGTGTTCGACATGCATTTCACTTGATCAGCAACCAAATAAAATTATATGCACTATTTGTCAGTTTTCTGGGCTTGAATTTTTATTTTTATTTCTTTCAAATTTGCATCTTTATCTTTCTTAAATTCTGATAAACTCAGTGATCCACACAGAGAAAAATAACAATATTATGAGATTTAATTGAATTAATCACACTCACGCCTATATTACAGCGTTAAAACAGCGAGAAACCCTGTAAACAATTCCCTGAATTACCACATAAAATAATTCACTTTCATTAAACAGCAGAAAAAAAAACAACGAATTTATTGAGAAATATGATTTTGTATGCTATCATTTCTGACAGTCAGCTGTTTCGCATTTTCTATTGAAACCAAATAAAGAAATGTAAACACAAAGCAAGGAAAAATGCCATTCAATTCATGTATGTTCATGTTCAGGAATAATTTTGCTTATGAAACTGACTGAAAGAAATGTCAGTAAAAATCGCGTACGTAAAATGTTCTTTTTTTCTTTTAAAATATATTATTGCTCTGAATAAATACCTAAGAGCGTATTTGATTTTTTTTCACGATTTCTGAGGGAATGTGAGCGTTGGTAATTTAAAACTAGATAATATCAAATGGCTTGAATGGTATGAAATGATATGAAATGTTGTGATGCAAGCGAATTACACATACATTCGGATGATGCAATCATCAATGGTAATCGTAATGGATTCAGTAGCGTGATGTCAGCGTGCTCCACATGCCGAATAAATTTCCCTGCATGACCATAGTATCGTACACTGGATGCAAGTGATCGTGTTTTTCCAAGAATTCAGTCGCCTTCTTCAGTTGCTCTTCAATCGTTTTACGAGATTGTTTTCGAAATGCCTGTGTATGAACAATTTTTGTATACAATTAGTTCCAAAAATACTTGACAGCCAAAACAAACCTGTGTATTCATTTCGTACGGTTTTATTCCAACCTTGTACAGTGGATCGTTTGCGAGGCTCATCCGTTCAATTTGTGATGACCATTGCTTATTTGTACAAATAAAACACTTGCACTTGAAATGGAATTGAAGGTCCATTGCCAATCGTTTTTGTTCCAATCCTTCGGTGGCATAAAGAGCAACGCTGAAAAAAGACCGATTCAACAATGAGATTTGTAAGTTTCAAGAAATGTTTTCATCAAATTTGACAACTCAATATTTATATTGCGGTGATAAATTCGAGTGTTTAGGTGAAAAATGTGAATATCATCGAGAAAAAACCAACCCAATGCAATGCAAACTTACGCATATGATCGAAACAGTTGTTCACCTTTTTTGATTGGACGGATTACTTTACCAATCAAACGATCATCGACGGAGTACATCCAGACATTTGGTAGACAAGAATGGTTGATGTAGCAGCTGAATGGATACATTGCGTAGGCGTAACGTTCACATTCCATTTTGCTCATGCTGTCACTGTCCTTTTCCTGGGTGTATTCGTACAATTCGACCGCATGCTCAGCAATGTGAAACAAATGCAACAGCAAATGTTGCAGAAAACGTTGATGTTTTAGTGTACGAAATCGAGACTTCAAGTCGGGGAATCGATTGATTGTAATGATTGCGACATCGGTGGCAGCTCGAAAACGATCCATTTGATGTTCCAACATTTTGCGATGATTATGAGTGAGTTGAAATAACGAGCAAAAATTCCGTTGAGCTTCTGTTGTCAAATTGTCCAGTTTTCCACCTTTGAGCAGCGTATCGACTGTTTTCATCAGCATATCGATGTCGGTAAATGCGGCATTTACGTTGAAAAACATGCGCATCAGTAGCTCAAAAGTCTCCTTTCGCGACAATGATATTGGCATATTGCATTCGTACTTGTGGAATGACATTGCCATACATTCTTCATTGCAGTAGCTGACACCTTTGCAATTTTTACACGAGATTAGGTTGATGCAGGCTTCGAAGCAGTGTGAACATCGAACACGAGCCGGAGCACCATGAAACCGCATGGGAATTATTGCGAACGGTTTTTCGATCAAGAACGTTTGACCAACTTGCAAATCACGTGTTATGACGATATGACGTCCGAATTCATCATTTTTCCGAATTTTCAAGCAGTTGACAACACCGGCAAATTCTTTATGCTCGTCGAAACTTAACTTTGGTGTCATCGGAGTGAAACGACTGTCTTCGAACTGTTCGTCGATCAACAATGCGGTGTATTTCGATGCTCGAGCATCCAATTTGTGCATCAAGTGTGCCGGATGCTTTAACTTCTTTGCCAACTCGATATCAAACAAACACACTTCTGGCATATTCAAATGGAGAAAACACGCTGAACGGTTTGGATATGCCAATGCCACTTCGACAGGATCCATTTTCAGCATTTTTAAGGCACTGTTGAATGTGTTCATTGCTTCCATGTATTTACCAATTGGTAATTGAAGTTCATTTTACCCTTTTCACGTAGTAACAAAGCAGCAAAATTGTTTTTCTGGTTTTTCGCCGATTTCTCCGACACAAACATATGATCAATAAGCGGCTCAAGATGATAATCAGCCAATGGTCGAATTGTAAAAATATCTTTGTATAAATCCGACTTTTTCGCTTTTTGCCACAAAATATTCAATGTGGATTGCATTTTGACACTTGTTCTATAGTTTGCGCGGCAGAAATGATGCGATATGTATAGCGGTACAAATAGAACTGATGTCGATGACTGGAAATGGCGAATCGAAATTTTATGCGGACATCACGACGTATATTTTACACTGGTTCATGCTCAAAAATACAGAGATAGAATAACGAATTCATGCGAAGTGTCAAAATGAATCGAAGAGAGAAAAAAAATCTTAGGCGCTATCTTAACAAAAAAAAATTGGCAAGTGGTAAATGTATATCAATACATCCGCATTGTCTTCACCGTGTATAGACAAGCATATATGTACATTGATATAACTTTGCGTTAAATAACGCGTCCGTTGGAACTGAGGTCTTAGCTGAGGCGTGTGTGGAAGTGTGTGTATGTGTGTCATTCATTCTGACGTTTTTGATGGCGTTTGCTCGACTGGATCACCAGGATTTCCTCTCAGACTGAAAATTTCATTGAAAAATAATCGGTGAGCAACATTCAATGGGTTTTTCTTAACGTAGATTGGATACCTTAGTGCCATCATGATTTCGCTGTGAGCTTTTTGGTCACAGATGGTCCTCACCAAGTTCTGAGCAGTAAAGCTGCCATACCGTTCCGCCAACGTTCGTTCTACGGAACCCTCGCACACATTCTTCATTGCTGTGGACTAAAAGTTAAAGCTGAATTAGTATTGCTACAGAATCCAAGTGACCTTACTGTCGAATTTGCGCAAAAATACATACTATTTCATGTTCATATACATCGTTATTTCATTTAGAAGCGGAAGGAGCGATAAGAGCTCCAACGCGCGATACAGTAGCTTTGACAAATGTATTGGTGCATCAAAAATGACAGTAAGGGACTTGGCAAACTCATTTTGATCAGTCATTATACGTATTTATGGATTCTTACAAGAGTATTAGCTCGTGCATGGATTTCGGAGGAAAGCTCTTGTATGTAGCTCTCCTTATCCATATCACAGCTCAAACTCGTCCCCACAGTGCGGCTATCCAGAGAGACAAAATGCGATTGGGAATCGACATTGCCGGCTTTCGAATCGATGTGGTCATTCGAATTGTCGGCATCGGCAATCGAGTCGTCATCGCTAGCATTCGAATCGTCGCGGTCAGCTGTCGGCCCTTCTGCAACTGAATTTCCGGAAGATGTATTAAATTTTGAAATAATTCCATCGGGAATTGGATCGAATACATCAAAATTGGTTGAACATTTCGGTGAAAGCTTATTATTTCAGTTTTCGTTTCATTGCCATGATTTATCGTCATTTTTTATGATGTGCAATATTTACTTTGCGTTCTTTTATGTTTTTTTTTCTTAAGAATTACTCTATCCGAGGTATTATTTCATTTGTCAATTCTTTATGTATTCTATGTGAAAAACGCACGAAGATGCCAAAAGTGGCCGCACTGTATGGCACTTCAACTATTCTATTCTAATTAGAACATTGATAAAGGTAGTTGAATTTTCACACAGATCATAGGCATTCATAAATATCTGTTGCAAACACACTTTCCTATTGAGTTTACCAAACTAAAAAGAGCCTTGGAGTATCTTCAAATGAGAAAATGAAAACACAACCTCGATTTACATGATTTTTACTTCATATTTCCCACACCAAAGGTGTTTCTGAGTTGGGTAATGTGTTTACTTATTGTTGGATCTATTTGATAGGCAAAGAAGTCATTATTTGTTCCTTGGGAATCATTTTCAATACAATTAACCAAAAAAATCTACTCTAAAATAGGCAATTCTCCCAATTTCCAACGAATGTGCATAGAAATGTAACCAATTTTGAAATGATCGATCCAATCATTGTATGTTTTTACGTGGAATTATCGTCATCAATTTTCATCTGATTTACCTGCAGGTTCTTGTTGGTCTTCGTCTTCTTCAACAAAGAACAGCATCACAACGACGATTGGTCTCTCGGGGTTGATGGTAATGCGCCGAGACTTCTTATCATCGTAAGTCTCCCATCTTTCGTTCCGTTTTATATGGGCGAGGTAGTGCCCCCCACCTGCGCCCGTGCTTTCAATCACCGCTTTCAGCCTAAAGGTCCTCAAGTCATCATACCGAATGGTGTCATCGATGGTGTTGAAGACGACCGGTATGGGCTGTTGGCTGTCCAAATCCAAAAATGACGGAAATCCCTCAACGTCAACGATGATGAAATTATTCGGCTTTCTGACGAATGCTTCCAATCTTGAACATTTAAGATTTTGACAGGCTGACTTTGGCTCAAGTTCCTCAATGGATGGAAGGATCGAATTGGAAAGGTTTCCAATGCGAGCTTTCTTGATATCCATCGGCACGAATATCATACGTTTTCGCGAACGGAAGGTATGACGAAGTTTGCATGAGCGCAGTTCCTCGATACTATACAGGTCAGGGAAATTTGCTCGAATCATACAAAGTATGTCTCGAGTCCCTGACCAGCAATCCAGTCGCAGTTCGGTAGTCGTGTCACGTAAGAAGCAACGATTTTTCTCCGCTTTTTCTTTGGATCCACTGTCAAGGTCGTATTGTCTGAAATACGCCTCCAGTAATCTACCACGCTCTTTCTGCGCCTCAGACAGATCGGCTGATTGGGTGGTTTCTGTGATCAGTCGGGAAAAATCGTCGTCAGATTCATCAATCTTTCTTTTGATTGCTGGTATATCAGCATACATCGCCAAAAAGACCATAAACACACTGTCGAATGCACAGGTATGAATAATGTCCACTGATCGCTCCCCATCCATGAATCGGACTCCATTTTTGATGTGAGGTAGACGGAGCAGATGATTCGCACCTGGATGGAGGTATTCTTCATCGTCTTCGACATCAAAGCTTCTGAAATGGCATTGAAGAAGTTTAAGGTGAATTTCTAGCCATTTATACACTCGATGCTGCTTCGTATTTGCAAACAAATCACGATTTGCTGCACGAAAGTCTAAATCAGTAATCGAATGTGAAGAAGTTCTCTGTTCGAAGACCGAATTCATAATGCTACCTGTCAATGGTAACATGGCGAATATGTCAATCAAAATCTCTCTGAGATGGGGCACTATGATTGACTCGCCTCGACTGAGTGTCGATATTAAGGCTTTATGGGTAGCTGGCTTTTCAGCCCGCTGTCCTAATGCGTGCACCCAGCCGTAGAACTTGGATGTCTTCAGACTGAAGCATGTATCAGACACACTGTCAGTCGTTTGAACGTCATCGAACATTTTGGCAATGTCATCACCTACACGAAGTCTATCCAATTTCTGATACAGTTCAGACGATTGGAATTCGAGAAAACTAAAAACCTGTTGAATTGTATTTCTTACAACTTCAATGTCTTCCTGTTGGATGAGGAACCCACAAATTTTTTTGAAAAAAACTATGGCAAGCTTATCGTTTTCATCGAACAATGGCTCCAGCTTCTTGTTAATGAATGCAACGAATTGCACTACATTGACTCTGATGTAGCATGGCGGCGCTGAGACACCGTCAAACAAGCTATTATAGCAGTGATCGAGGTAGCCATTTATCGTGAGATGTTTGGACGTGAAAGATTGAATCGCCGAAATTAGGAGCGTCTTCGAGTCAGCAACAATAACTTCCGAAGGGGATGCTTCGGGAACGTTTTGATCCTGCCACGATGTCAACATACGGCGAATGCTCTTCACGTTATGGCGCTCAGAAATCATCTGAAGAACGGGCAAAGTACGCATTCTTCCGTGCATGGTGATTTCGTAGAAAAACACATGCCGCGCTTCACCCGCCTCCAACGGAACCTTGCATTCATCAGGCAGCTGCGCAGATATCGTCGACACAGCAATGGATATGATGCGATGGTGTTGCTTCAATTCAATGCTCGAAAAAAATCTCTGCATCGGTGTCGAATAGCACACTAGAAACGGTTTGGACTCGTCATGTCGAATGCAGTGGAGAAAACGCTGGCTTTTCTTAATCTCCTGGATGGTTGGAACAGAATCAGCGGCATTGTGGACTGGCCTTGGTTGTTGAGGTTCAGGAATTGAATCCCCAGACTGGAAATCACCATGGAGATCACCACCGTCGTCATCGCCATGGTCATCACTAGAGTCGTCGTCGAAGAAATCGTCGGAAGACTGATAAAAATAAAGCACATGAATTAGTCTTGCCACAGATTTCTTTCTTGCTGTGCAACATCTAAGCAAATCAAAACTATCTGTCGGTTTTCCAGTTTCAATTCAAACGATTTTATTGAAATATCCCAAGCCAATGTAATGTGATAATACAATTTACAATTTGTTATTACAACTATTTTCTTTGATTGGTCATAGGCCAAAATAAGGTTATAGTAACAAGTTCATTCTTACAATCTAATTCCTAACGAATCGATGAATTACAAGTTAATTAACTGCTTATTATATATTCACTTTCTCTCATTTACCTACTAATGTGTAACTTGATTGACCTTTATTTCCTAGAATTTTGTATGGTCTAACATTAGTTGATGTTAACACTCCGAAGAGAGACTGTGAACAACTAGATATGAAATTGCCGAAATGCAATTTAAAATGAATGAAATGATCGTCGACACCATCTGTTCGGGCATAGAATAAAGCTCATGAGTATTACTAGAAATAAACGGTCTCTGTTGATGCGTTCAGTTTTTCAAGGATGACAATATTCAATGCGTGTACGCTGGTGGAATTTCGAACTGTTTCATGCTATGCTCGAATAGAGGATGTCATTCATTCATTTCAAATCTTTCCGATATGAATATTTACCATATGAATGCATCAGAATAAAGACATCGTTTGATATGCTCGCGTATCAAAGCGAAATTCAAAACATTTGCATAATAAATACGGTAACCACACAAATTGAAGAAAATTCAAATTCCGAAACAGCAAAACGCCGAAAAAAAAACACCGAAAAAAACGCCGAATCCAAAATCTCGAAAAAAAAACACCGAAAAAAAAATTCCGAATCCAAAATACCGAAAAAAATCTCGAAAAAAAAATTCTATGCGAAGTTACATACAGCTGTCAAAAATCGGTATTTTATTAATATGTTAATAAACAACATACATATTTTAATAATTAATAAAAATTTTGAAACACCATATTTATTAACGTTAATAAATATAGTGCATTTTATTAACATATTAATAATTATTAATATGGCAAATTTTCGGTTATTAATATGTTGTCGATTTTATTAGAATTCTAATAATATCGACAACATATTAATAACGATATTTTATTAGTATTTTAATAAAATCGACAATTTTTTTATTAGAATTTTAATAAAATGTGGTTATTAATAGGGTGCCGATTTTATTAGAATTCTAATAAATTCGACAACATATTGAACATATCATGTTCACATCAAAGTCTATTCAACACAGCGTTTAGATTATTGATGGGCTCAAAACTACTTATATCGATTGGAATTGTTCAGCACCTTCCTTGAATCTCATAGAGAGAGAATATACAAAGAATTTAAGTGCTATGTGGTCTAAATATGTTTATTGGTTTAGTGGGAATTCACATTGAACTGTTATGACCAAACTGAAGGTTCAAGGAAATTTCAAATAAAGTTATGGGCCGAAATCAAACAAATGCGATCTGCATGAAACTTTCAGAATCTTATTTTTTAGCCGGAAAAAAAATCCCAGGAAGTTTGAAGCCCATACAAAATTATCGAAATTTTGAGAAAAATTACATATTTTTCATAAAAAATGAACAAAAATCGTTATAAAATCACTTCAGTACTATTTTTCCATGTTATATGTGTTAGATTCTTTGATCCCAAAGCAAAAAATATATTGAAACATACAATAAAGGCAAGGAAAAAGTCGTAAAATGCCAAAAATGTACCAGAATTTGGATTTTTAGCCGCATGTAGAGCAGCTTGAGTACTACAACTTCGTCATAGACACCAAGTCGATATCTCTTATCATAGTCCAGCTATAATATAAAATAGCCATGGGTCCCTGTGGTCCCCCAAGAACAACAGCGTAACATGTTTTGCGGCAGGCTGTATTTTACACATACTCACACATATGCATATGTTTTTTTTTTCATTCGTGTAGAGAAATGTTCAATCTATACAATGAGACTTAACTCCGGTTGGTTTATACACTGTTTAGTACTTTTATTCAACTTTAAAGTTCGCTGGGGGCCCTGGGTGCCCCAAGAACAATCATAGTGTTAATAAAACTCGAGATCAATTTTTGAAATTAATTTTTGGAAAGACGCCCGTGAATCATCAGAGGGCGCTTAGCGCCCTTTCGCGCCCCCGTGGCTACGGCCCTGCTACCGTGCAAAAGTTTGGAACCACTAGGTATTTTTCATACAAATTGACCATTTTTGGTGGACTCATTAACATATTT